CCCCCCACCTTACCCCCCAAATCTTTCCTGCAGCCACCGAAGTTTGCTCGGTGCCATCCGAGGTGCGCCAGGAGGGATGCGCACGGGTGCACCGAGCCCTGGTAGATCTGGGGTGCTCCCTGCCCGCCCTGGTGCCCCTCCAGCCGCCCCGCTGCGCCCCGCCGCTGCTGGTTTTTTGTGTTTTCAGCCCAGTTTTGCCCCATCCCACGCTGGTGGGACCTGAGCAACACGCGCTCGTGGCACCCAAGGTGCCCGTGCAGCCAACCCTCCGGCAGCCAGGCAGGGTGTCCAGAGCATCCCAAAACCGGGCGCCAGGGCCGCTGCGGGTGATGCCAACGCTGCAAGAGGGGTTTTACCCCCGAACGAGAGCCGGGAGCGGGGACAGGGAATTGCAGCCGTTAAAGCAAACGGAGCTTCGCGCTGGGCTGCTCCGGAGGGGCCGGGATAAACCCCGCGCAGGGAAGGATCATCTCGTGGGGTTTGCCAACGGTTTTACGGCTCTGAATAGTGCCTGCACTAATTTTGTCGCACCTTCCTGGTAACGCCAGCGGTGCCAGGGGCGTTCGGAGGATGTTTTCGCACGCGGGCACGTGTTGGTAAAGGATATTTATTGCCCTTTCTGACCTCTCCTATTGCCGGAGTGGCTTAAAACTGCTTTTAATGCTACAGTTACCTGAAATCCCTGGGAAAGCGGGGCCAGCTGGTGGGAGAAGGGGGGTGATGGTGTCCTGAGGCTTTTTCCCCGTTCGTGCCATGCACCCGAAGGCTGGAGCAGCTGGGGGTTTGCAACTGGGAGGGCACGGAGATGCGCAGGCTGTTGTGCCTGCAGTTAATTTGGGGTGTTTTTTCCCCAGGTTTCTTCCCGCACGTGAAATACCGGCTTTGCCGGGGTGGGCGCTGGAGTCGGTGTTAAACGCTGTCTTAAACCCGCTGCGGGTTTATTAGAAACACGCACTTGGATATAATTTTCAGCTGTCAGTTTGTTTCTGCAGGCTCGAAGCACTTTCTTAATTTGATTTTTGTGTGTGTGTGACTTTGTAGGAGGGGAGAGTCCCCGTTCCTGCTGCGGAGGAGACGGTGACAAGCTCCTCCAGCAGCATGAAATCCTTCTGAGACAGTCTGGAATACATGTGGAAAGGCACCTTCAAACTATGTCTTTTCATAGAGTTTTTGGTGAAAGCCAGGACCTTGCTCCCACACTCTGGCCACCTGCCCCCCAGCCCCTTCCCACCTTGTGTCTCTTCCCATGCCCATCACCTTCACCCAGCCTGCATGGCTCGTGTTGGGTTCTGAGCCTCCCCCCATCGCCCCTCTTGGGATGGAGCAGTTGAGGGTTTGCTAATCCCCTTCTTCGGAGCGCGGATTCCCTGCAGCCCCCTTGCTCCTGCCGCACCGATGGCCTTTCCATGACTGATTTTATCAGGGAGACCTTTTAACGTGGCGCTTCCCCTCGTTTCTCCGCAGGCAGCCGGTGACCGAGGGCTCTCCCGCCTGGCCGCCCGCTCCTGCCTCTCCATGGCCACTCCGGATGTCAGCGTCCACATGGAGGAGGTGGTGGTGGTGACGACGCCCGACGGCGCGGTGGACGGAAGCGGCGTGGAGGAGGTGAAGACGGTGCTGGTCACCACCAACCTGTCCCAGCATGGGTAAGAGACGGGCTCGGCGTGCGCCAGGGTGATGTGCTGGCAAACCTCCCGCCCATGGTTGTAGCCAACTGGGCACTGGGCTGGGGGTATTTCATCACCTACGACGTGCTCCTGCGTCGCTTCTCGCAGTGGGGACCTCGGCGGTGCCCGGGCAATCTCTGGATCCTCGTTAGGTCCTCGCTGACGCCCCTGGGACTGTTCCTGGGGCCGTGGGCTCTGCAGCTCCCAGCTTACAGCAGGCTCAAGTTCGTGTTACCCGGAATAAAAAGCGATGCAACAGTTGGCTTTGGAGAAAACAAGAAGGAAAAAAGAAATACCCCAATCCAAAATATCTTTTCTGAGTGGATGTTGGAATGGATGCAAATCTGGTTGGAACAGGACACCGGTAGCTAAATCCGTGTTTTTCTGCTCTTTATTCCATGATTGCTCCGCTAAGGTGCGTACCCCGAGAGATGGGTCTCTGCAGGCAGCGTGGTGAGTGCGGAGCACCCCGGGCCCCCTTCCCAAGGGGGGTTGTGGCCGCGTTTTTCTGCCAAGCTCTGCAGGAACCTCCGCAGCGGGCAGCAGGAGTGAGAGAGGTGGCCCTGAAACCCCGCGGTGCTTTTTAAAGTCCTTTTTCTTTGCCCAATTCCTGCCCTGCAGGCAGCGTGGTGAGTGCGGAGCACCCCAGACCCCCTTCCCGGGGGGGCAGGAGGAGTGAGAGAGGTGGCCCTGAAACCCCGTGGTGCTTTTTAAAGTCCTTTTTCTTTGCCCATTTTCTGCTGTTCTTGGTGGCATTTCAGATCTGGGGACGCTGTTTGCTCAGGTCTGCTCTGCTGAGATGCAGATGGGTCAAGTCTTTGCTGCCCCAGCAGAAGTGCCTGGCTGGCACCTTGAGTGCCCGCGTGGCGATGGGCTCTTTGCTTTATTTCTCTCCAGTCTTTCACAGGATGGTACCCAGAGCCTGGGGGTGTTTTGTTGCTTCTGGAGCTTTTCTGGTGGGCAGAAAATCCAAGTTTCATAGTGACCAACAACCCAGACCTCTGGTAGGGAATAGGCAGGGGCAGAGAGCGGGCAGTGAGGGCACCACAGGCAGGAGCTGCCCCACTCCTCCTCTGCATTCCAGGTCCGCAAACGCTTCTGAGAGCCTTTTCCATTCCCAAAGAGCAGGTGATGGTGGGAAGAAAGGCTCTGCTCCTCTTGCGTTCTGGCCCATGGTGATGGCAGATGCTGGCTCAATCCATTTGGTTTCCTTTTGCTCTTATTTCCCCTCCTATTTTTCTTTGGAAACCTTTTCTCATCCGTCCCAGTGTCTCCTGGATGGTCAGGAGCAGGACAGCTCGACACAGCAGAGAGATTCCTTGGCTTTGGCTCGCTCACGCGGGAAGGCGGCTTTGATCTTATGTGGCACGTGGAAACCACGAGGCTGGAGTAACGGCCAGACTGGGGGCTGATGCCTTTTTCTGGTGCTCCTTTGGGTATGGTTTCACTATTTAAAAAAAAAAAAAAAATTGTACCACCAATGGTCAAGGGCTTAATTAGTTTGTGTGGCTTTAAGGTTGACTGGAAAAGGCAGAGGGGAAATGGGAAAATAGTAATAATCAGCAAGAAGCTTTTCTCTTTCCTCTGCGATCGGAAGGGACCTGTGCTGGATGCTCGGATGAGGTGTTTGTACTTCTGATGAGCATCCCCAGCGCAGGTTTCTGGTGGAGACGACTTTCTCTCTCCGAGTGGAGGAGCAAGGAGACACGAGCTCGCTGCTTTATCAGCACGCACTTTTTTTTCCTTCCTCCCATCTGGTTTATGGATCCTCCCAGGGAGGAAGAGGAGAGTCATCCTCCCCCGGCTTCGTCATGGCAACCGGTGAAGGCAGGACCAGCTTGGTGGGATGCACCACTGGGGCTTGGAAGGTGTCTGAGTTCCCTCCTGCACCTGCCTCAGTCTGTTCCTCTGGAATGGGATGGGGGAAGAGTGTGGAGAAACTCGCCTTTATTTGTGGTTTCCTCTTCCCCCTGTTTCATCTGCCTGGCAGACACGGACTTCAGTTACTTGAATTTCTCATACAAGCTGTTGAAGTTGGTTTGGTTCTTTTTCTCTGGAGGACGGGGTTTGAGATGTGGGCTGGGTTATTTCTCC